TTAACTACTTGAGCAGTGTTTCATGTATTCTAAGTTTTGTGGTTTCAGATGTCAGCATAAACCTAAGAGAAGAGCACTAGAATACCCATGTAAGTGATGTAACTGATCTCTAAATATCTGTAGAATCGATCAAGATCACCAAATATAAAAGCAGCAACTTATGCTCTCAATGCTGCTTGTCTTGTGCAAATAATTTACAAGCTAAGAAGGTGTTTTAATCAGCATATTCTAAAATTGAGCTCCAGACTGAAATTAATGATGAGCAATAGTAATGTTGGAGAAATAATACAGAAAGGAGTAATATAGAGAAAATGAGAGAGGGAGAGAAAGAGCGACAGAGACAGAGACAGACAGACAGAGACAGGGATAGAGAGAGACAGAGACAGATGGTTTTAGCTTTCTCAGGTTGTCACCCAATCACATAGATTTTAATAGATAGTTGAGAGAAATTTCTAGTTATGCTCGTTAATTGTAATTAGATAAATAAGTCCTAAAGCATTAGTAAGATACCTTTTTGGGCATGTCTGTGAAGACGTTTCCCGAGAGGGTTAAATGAATATGAAAATCCCTCCCTGGAGTGGGTGGGACCACTGCAGCACTAGGAGCCCAGACTGAGTAACCAGATGTAAGAGCAGCTTTCCGCGCTCACTGTCATGCTTTCTCCAGGGGGATGCACTGTACCTTTGCAATCTGTAAACACAATGGAGGCCTTGTTTCCTCCAGTTGCTTTTTGCAAGATGCTTAATCACAGCAATGAGAAAAACTGTCCCCTGGTTTTCCTTATAAAGCTTTGGACACCTAAGGGAATCTGTCATGTCTCTGATGCCAGTATCTGTGCTCCAAAGCTTTCCTGAGGGACAAATCAGTCAGTCCCCTGAGCAAGGCTCACGTTCTGTGTCCCTGCTCCTTATCTCTCCCTGAATCCTGCTCCTGGGCTTTGAATGAAAATCCTAACTTTAGAATATAATAGATGCTGAATAAATATTTGTGAAATACACAGAAAAATATTTAGTAGAATACATTAGTTTTTTGCTACTAAAACTTTTTCTAACATGAAGATGAACTTCCTTAGGGATACTTTTAAAAAAAAGAAATAACAGTGAAATAAATTATACTTATCAATGTTCATGTCCCAGTTGCCTCACTCAGTTCTGTCATGCTTTGCCCCTGACCCCCGACTGAGGATTTTCTGACTCTGGAAAACACTAACCTTTGATTTTCACTAATAATTTTACCTGCGGAAGCTGTTCCGGCTCCATGCAGGATTTAGGCCACTTGGTTGAAGACTCAAAAATAAGTTCCATATAGTTCTCCAAACACATCATAGTTTTACATGGCTAGATTTCTTTGCCTACAGGAAATGCTTATTCATTCAACAAATCTTTTAAAAGATTTATTGATTTTTACTTAGGTGTATTTGTGTATGGGTATGCACTACATGCAGATATCACAGAGGCCCAAAGACTGTATCAGATTTCCCTGAGGCTGGTAGTTGTGAATCACCCAGTGTGGGTTCTGGGATCAGAACTCAGATCCTCTGCGACAGCACACGCTCCTAACCTCCATACCATCTCTCCAGCCCCTATTTGACAAAATTTTAAGCGGTCTTCTAAACTTCAACTCCAAGAATTACTTGGATATCCAATCTTTTCAATGTCAAAAGTTGTACTTAATTTTAAAGTTTTAAACCAAAAAGCTCCGTCCTACTCAGATTGTGTGTATATGGTAACTTTTCTCTAAATATCTGTTTCTGGGTGTGTAGCTGCTTGCTAAGTTTATCACACAATAGTTGATGCATGTTTAGAGTGAATATCATAATGGTATTAATCCAAATACAGCCCTTCAACATGCCATTCAACTCCCTCCTGTTTTTAGGACTGAAATAATTAAGCCTTTTCAGCTTCCAACTTACTCCCAGACTCCCAGGTTTTCTTTTGAGAGTATTTAACTTCAGCACTATTACAATTGTTAATGCTATCTTTGACTAAATTTGCTTATTTTATTCTAAAAACAAAACAAAATAAAAAACAAACCAGTGCTACTACAAGCTTTTGCACCTATATTCCAGTAGCATAGACATTTAAAGCCCAGTTTGTGTTAAACTATTTTTCTTACCCAGATTACTTATACACACAAATCTACCTAGTATTATTATGACTTAAAGTAGCTTTCATTATAGTGCATGATACAAATGGGGCATGAAATGATGTAAATGTTAATTGTCAAATAAATAGGTAAAATTTAAGTAGATTTAACCAAATTAGTCTTATTAAATATAAAAGTTTAAATCCAAAATAAGTCATATTTCTATCTGAGTCTGTACAAAGGCAAAAACAGCAAATAACCTGTCACTATCTTTTACTTGGTAATAAAGGCATATTCCTTTTATATATTTATATATACCTTTTTATACATTTTCCTTTTATGTCAAAAAAGAAAATAGGGCTGCAGTGAGATGATCCTAGTATTTGTATATGTGTTTTGTTGCATATAATTTTTCAGTATCAAAATGTGCTTTTTAAGAATAAGTGGACATGTTCTGTATTAAGGTCAGTGTGGCATGTGTTATTGAATTTTCTTTCTTTGTATTTTTGTCTTTCTTCTTCCCGCTTTAAATCAACTAGAAAATATAGAGATTCTTCTTTATTTAATGTGGGTGCATTAAAACTTTAGGGATTCTAAATTCTCTCTTCAATATGCATGAACACTTCCAAAGCTTGAATAAGATAATGTGGCCTTAAAAAGTGATCCTTCTATTTCCCCTTATACTAGAATATAATATGGAGACAGATAATGCATAATGCTAGGTAATGGATCACATCAACTAAGGCATGCCAATAAATCCTTGCACTGACCTTACACATAGTGTTTTTCCAAGAAAAAATGTTTTAAGTAAGGAAAAAAAATCTCCTCTTTATTGTGTTTTGTTGCATTTTCTTTAGTAAGAGAAGGATAATGTTGTCTGCTGTGTATTTTTTTTCTTCTGTTAGCTTTCAGGGACCAATCAATTTAAATTTGTAATTTAAAAGAATATATACATATGAATATTGTTACAAAACAAGGAAAATTGTTTGAGAATTGATGCCAAAAGAAGATAGTAAAATAGGTATAAAAAACACACACACAAAACAAACTTCAAATTCAAACGAAATAAATGTGAATCTGTTTAGTCAGTAGGAAAGCATTCCACATAATTTTAGTGTAAAGATAGTGCATCCTGATTGGCTTATCCTTAATGGGACCTTCTCTTCACTCTCAGCAATCCACACAGACACCCATCCTAGCTGATACTAATATTGATCACCATGTGAGTAATATTGCCACAATATCAGGTTCACATTGGCATCTTACATCACCATAGCTGACTAAGATATTGTAAAGTACCATAACTTCCTCATTATTCTCAAGTTCTGGTGATACTCAATATATGGTTCCTTAGTAGGCACAGATGCAGATGCATTACCTGTGGCTATCATTTTTCTCACTCACACTATCCATTGTAACAGGGTGGAGCCCACATTGTGTTATTATATTTTCAGTATCATGTTTTCACTCTTACTACAAACTATTTGGAAAAGAACTCAACCCATGAAACGGTTATTTACAATTTTTCATGGGGGCTACAGAATAAACTTTATCAGTGCAAATTAGAAATTTAGAAAAAGCAAATTATTGCTACAATTCTATTCTCAGGATGGTTTATAGGAGGCAAGAAGAAAAGACAGACTTGCCAGTAAACAACACCTAATTTATGACCTGTGAAGCTTATTAGGATAGAATATTATTCATAAGTGGGATTAATAACATTGACAGGTGAAATGACAGTGTGAGGGAGGGAGATTTTCTCAGTAGTGAGAATTGGTTAGAAAAATTCTATAAACTTTGAGGCAAGTCATGAAATCGTCACTGAAAACTAATCCATTTTTGCCTGGCCTCAGTTTTTCTGTTTTTATTATAGGAAAATAGGTCTTAAACTTCCAGGTCTTGGCTATATTTTTCTGTATTTGGGTAGTAATTTTGTGGGAATATAAATGATGATAACATCTTCCTATATATGTAACATCCCAATGCTAATATATTGGTGTGGTTTGACACCACTTCTAATTATGGTTTCTTGTACATAATGTTCCCATTTACTTTTCTTGATCAAAAGTCAACCCTTCTCTGAAATTTGGTGACTGGGAAATTCAGAATCTCTCTGAGAACATACAAAATTGTAGAACAATGCTTCAGAAAATTGATAATTTTCTCTTTGATATTTCAAAATTTAAAAGGGGAATTGGGACTGAATATAGTTACTCTCATTTTAATTAAAGAAGGCACTAATTTTAACCACGTCCATTTCATATAATGTACACTGGAATCAATAATGATCACAGAATTTGAAAACGCTCTCCTTTCTGTTTCATTGGAAACATCTTTTCCATCATTAGTGATGAGAAAGAATGGAATTTTTAGAAGCTAAAACAACATATTTTTTTGCACATGCAATTTGATGAAAAAAATAAAGGACCATGTTGTACAGGTACATCTGCTGATAGAAAAGTAAATAAGGAGACAGAGTTTGGTTTTGGTTTTTAGTACCGTCTACCCTTTCTCATGTGTGGTGAATTGAGACTCTTACTTTTCATGTTAACTTTGCCTCAGCAGACATCAATGATGTGCCTCTGTTTAGGAAAATAGATATATTCGTGGACAGCTAAGATGAATCCTAGGTCTTATTTCTCCTGAAGGTCATGTGCAGGCGGAGAGAAAAAGTGTGTGTGTGTGTGTGTGTGTGTGTGTGTGTGTGTGTGTGTGTGTGTGTGTGTGTTGTGGTTATTATATGAGAAATACAAAATAAAATCAATGATAGCATAATGATAATCTATTGGTATTAGATAAGGCAACCTAAGATTCATCGTCAACGGAACAGAGGTATAGGGAAAACTTAGGTTTATTTTCTTCCCATCAGGTCCTATGGACCACAAGTTCTTACATTTGTATCTTTTCTCTTTTAGGAGTAACTCCAGTGGACTCTCGTGTACTGTGAGTATCTTACCAATTATTGATTCTCCAGTTCATGACTAGGATTTCATTCTGAAAAGCTGTAGTCATGACCAACTGTTAATCATCAATATCCAGAATTTCTTACCTTATTACACCTAGACTTTGTGACTTAATTCTAGACAATAGGATACCATGGAAATGGTGGTTTGTGTATACTTGTGTATACGAGTAAGAGACATCATGGGTTACTTCTTCCTCTTGAATCATCTGTCCTGGAGGAAGCTAGCTGTCACACTCTGTAGATATATGTTTGGCAAGGAATGTGGATCTCATGTCAATAGCCATTTATTGTGTGCTTAGATGACTAGTCCACAAACATATTGACTACAAGCTCATGAAGGTTCCAGTCTAGATTCACATAGCTACTTTGTTTCTGGACTTTTGATACTTAGAAATTATGTAATATAATACAACTTTATTGTTTTAAAGTGCTAATATTTGGGAATAGCTTGTTGCTATTATAATAGACAAGTGATTGACCTTGTCTCAGACACTTCAATTCTGTGAGAACCCTCTTGTTAGAGTGAAGGTATGTTAAAGTCAGTTGTAACACAGAGGGAAATGATTCAAGCCTAGGTAATAGTGTGTTCACTGAATTCATAGGTGAGCCTATGGATATCTATCTAATACCCAGGTGCTTAAAAAGATAGATTTAGTAGATGACTGAACCCTTCTGTGGATTCCTCTATCTTTGGAATAATAGCCATTATAAATGACAGCTTACCCTGGAAGATAGTAAAAATCATCCTAGGTGGAATGACAGACTAGTGCCATATAAACTAACAAGCAAGCAAATGAACAAAAAACCAACACCTGAAAGATGACAGTATTGTCCTTAAAATGTCAAATGGACTATCAGAGATGATGATACACTTCTGAAAAATTACAAAGCAAAAGCGTTCCAATTTCTCAGGGATCTATGTAAAATATGGAGCAGAAAGAGTATAAGAGCAAAGGTGATATGTGACTTGAGGGAAATGGTGTTTTGAAGGTACAAGGGAGAAATGAATGAACTCAAAGATTGTGAGAACATGCACAAGACCAACACAAGCTCAAGAGAGAGACAATCCCAGCATCAGGCAGGGAAGGCAGGTACTCCCAGGTGAGGAGCTATTGGTATTAGATTACTACTGGAAGAGGAAAATCCAGTCTTCTTCAATGGAGTAATATCTGGTACATCAACTGCATTTCAGGGGAAGCCCCATGACCATTGTATCTGGCTAACACAAAATGAATTTGATGTTTTTTGTCGTCTAAAGAGAGAAAATATAAAATTGGGTGGGTAGGAAGGAGTTGGGGAAAGTTGTGAACATGAAACTACATTGTATGGAATTTTCAAAGAGTAAGTTCATTATATTGTTTAATATCTTAGTTGGAGCAATTCTCTACCTAAAAGTTGAGTATTCGTTGAAGAACATTAGAATTTTCATCTTTGCTTCTTGAGACTCATGAGAGCTGGTCTTCATTTATAAAACAAATAGGAAGGAAATATTGTGAATGCACAGATGTTCATACACTGCATGGAGCTCACATCTTAGTATCTCCCAAAAGCAGGCCTCCTGTTTCATTGACTGCATCATGAAAGGAATCCATCATACAATTTCCAGAAATCTTTGCTCCATGACAACAAATTTCATGAGTAGCATCAATCAGTTAGTAACACTATGATTACAACCACATTTTCACAGTTTCTCAAAATGTTCATTGCAGAGAATTAATTATGATTTTTTTTATCTATTGGCCTTCAACCCTGAAGAAGGAAGTGAAGAGCAGATGCTTTTGAAAGAGTTAAAACCACTTTGATATAACATTCTATTGAGTATTTAATTCAACAAGCCGAGCATTTGTCAAAGTAGTTCTCATTTTCTGGCTTTAATACACTTTGACTATGAACAAATGTTGAAGTATGTTAGAGGTTTAAGGCAGGTGGTGTTTCCTATTATCCCACAGTCTGGCAAACAATTCTCTAACTTCACAATTGGCCAACACATATTTAATATTTTTTTCTCAAAACACTTGTCTCAGTGGATCTACTTGTCAGCTAGGACAAAGAGAGAGTTTTCTTTTAAAATAGAAAGTTATGTTGAAATGTCAAAAGTCTCTAATAGTTTACTTATTGGCACAATACATTCAAAAGATTCTTGAGAAGGAGTTGGCTTAAACCAGTGGACATCATGTCTACCACAACTACATATTATGTGGTTTTCCAGAGAATATTCCGAGTAGTCATAGCATGTAGTGAGAGAAGGGAAGAAGGGGGCACTGGGAAGGGAATCTGTCCAAATTTATTTATAACACTGAAACTTCTAGAGAACAAAGTATGACTTCCTTTTACTTTAAAAGGGTTTTCAACCAAGGCTTTTTCCTTGGTGACATACAGCAGGGCTTCAGTAACAACCAGAGCTACCTACTAAAATGTTTGGAGATGAATATTTCAGCAAAACAAACAAAAAATCCAAATGTAAATATGATATGAATTGGAATACTAAAGTCTTATGCCTCCAACAAGGGGCACATATGTGTATTTCTTGGGCATTTCTGTTAATTCATTGAAACACTTTAGAAATGATGTCCTAGGAGAGAACAATTTGGTAAAGAATTTGAGCAGTGATTCTCTGTAATCACTAAGGTTGATTTAAAGATTGTTGATATCCTAGGTGCAAAGGAATAGAGATAAAAGTTCCCAGGTACAGTCAAGCACTTTTTAGTGTGGTTATCCTATTTTGCTCCTTTTATAGTTTTGTTACACCATTGCCTAAGGGCTCATTCTCCACTCCATGCTTGTGGATTTATACATGTAATGCTGGAGGTGTAGTCAATGTTGTTGCCCTCTGTGCTCTGACTTTATCTTCTTCCTTCGAGTAGCTGAGCTTCTGCTTTGATCTTTGATTTTAAACATATTCTTGAAACTTTCTTATTTTATTTTATAGTACTCAAATCCTTAATTTAAAGCCTTCTCGGTTTCTTATTTCCTAAAATAATAAGACCCATGAACTTCATTTTCCTATTGCTCTGCTTCACTTGTCCAGGCTCTGTGCCTAGGACCTCTCCCCTAACTTGTCTTTTCCTTCTCTGTGCCTTTTGTGGATGGGTGTGTGTCTCCCAAAGGCCCATATACTAAGTGCGTTGTCACAAGCATGGAGTTCTTCTGTGAGGTTGTGGAACTATTAGGAGATGAGAAGGAAGAAGGAGGAAATCAAGTTGTCAGAAGCATACCGTTGACGAAATATTGGGACCCTGACCCCCTGTTTTTGTTTGTTTGTTTGCTTGCTTGCTTTTGTTTTTCCTTGTCGTCAGGAAATGATTGTTCTCTTACGTATTTGCAGACTTGTTCTTTCTCATCACAGGCCCTGGGCAATGAGGTCAGTTACTAAATTGAAATATCTGAATGTGTGAGCCAACATGAATCTTTCCCTTTTAAATGGATTGTCTCAAGTGTTTGGTTATAGCAACAGAAAGCTGACTAAACAGTAGCTTCATAATTGTAATCATTCTGCTGTTACCTATCACTATGAAATTATCATATTCTGTTAAGCACATAAAAATATTTTGCAGAATATCCCAGAAGTCTACTTGAAATTTATAGTCCTCATAGGACTGCAGGGTGATGAATGCATAGTCAGGTTCACATGCATTTTACTTATCATGCTTTCATCTTCTGGCTTTGGTCATTAGTAACATAGCTTCCATATCACTGCTTCTCTTTGCCAGCACCTAAAAAAGTCAACCTTCTTATCTAGATTATTAGTTGTTCTCAGCTGTTTCTAATTCTACCATTAGATGGTGAATAGGTAGCAGGGTTTTCAGATCTTGAAAGCAGAGAAGGAAGCAACAGAAGCCACTAGGGTGGCATTTTCTCACCATGGAGCATCAGGAAGATTATGTTCCTTCATTATTGCACATTTACTTATTCAGGGTATAGTTAGGAACACACCATGCTGATTAGCAAGAGTCCTGACTATAACAAGCCTAAATTCACTTACTTATAAAAAGCTATACTTTGGTCTCTTTGGGTTAGAAAGTGTCTCCCAGTCTCCCTTTGGCTACATTATAGAAGACTTTGTAGCTTTGGTCTCCATGCTGTGGGTTTTCTTTCCCATTTTCTTTTCTCTCTCTCTTTTTTTTTTCTGCAGCCATTATGAGTGTAGTGCTTGAGATAACCATTGATAATATTGTCTTTTTCTGGAAATCTGTAGAGAATTCTAATGGAAATGGAAGTTTCTAAGAGTTGCCTAGAGTGGATGGGAACATAAAATAATATCCTTTAAGAAGCATTGCCATCAGCATATGAATGAATAACTTCGAAAGTTGGATGTGGTGGCTGCATTCCCAGAAGCTGGAAGGCTGAAGCAGAAGATCAGACTAGACCATAATGCAGAATAAAAGGACCTGGTCTCAACAAATCAATACAACCAAGTGTTTTTTTTTTTTTGTTTTTTTTTTTTAAGCTATGACAATTGCTTCGTGTCAAACTCAGAACTTTGTCAGGAAAGTTCTTGAAGGCATGCAGTGTATCCAATTTGCTCTCAAGTCTATTCACCCTCACCTAAACATTTCTAAATAACATTTTTATTTTTTCAGTATGTTTCGACTTTTCAGTTTCTCCCCTGTGTCCTTCTCTGTGTAGCAATACTACATATCTACCAGCAGGTAATGACCATGAAGAACATTATCTGAGCCTCTTCCATTTGAGGTATCATTAGATCACCTCTCTCCCACTGCCATTCCCCGGCTTAGACACTATTCTCAAAGTTCTAGAAGGATCTTTTACAATTTCCGTCTAATTTGGAAAAAGCTATTTTGAAAGAGCATCTTGCCTCCCTGGCTCTGAGGCTGTTTGCTTCTCTTTCTAGCAGCGTGATCAAAGGGCACTGCTTAAAAGTAGAAAGTTAGAGGCTATTCAGAATTCTTCTCAGTTAAATATGTGGAGGATGTCATTTCACTCTTGGTTGATGACCAATTGTTGCATTCTAGAGTTCCATGTGATGGTGTGGGAACTGGCTTAAAAAGTAATAAACCCAAATCACACTTTTGTCTAAGCATTTTAAATGCCCACAAAAGTACAGTGTGTCCACCAGCCATTTAACACTTATACTTCTGATTCATTTAAATTATAGTAATTAACTGTAATCATATAGAAATAAACCAAAATTTGCCACAGAGTGCTTGTTTAAAGGCATCCATTCATTATGAAAGCTTTCAAATGTCAGTGGATGCATAATAGATTAGAATATGATTTTCGTCATAGGATTTGCTGTTACACTATTGTTTCTTCTCCTGTGACTGTTTGAGTCCACCAATTTTTCTTCTCCTGATTTTTGCATTCTTGCTGTTAACTCATCATAGATAAGCTCTGCCACTTCTGTAAGTTGCCTTTGGAAATTGGATGTAGGAAAACTTCATACATAACATTATTCATGAGCTTCAAAGGAGCAGAATGAAAAGTAGACTCTTCCCAGGAAGTAAAGTGAGGAACTGATAACCAAAGAAAAGTAGAAAAGATCCAACCAACAAATCTATTCCTCATAAAATTATGATCAGACTAACGACACTTATATTTTACAACTATGTTAAACTTGGTATTTAGTTCCAATTACCTTTTAATTAGATTTTTTTTTTAGGATTTTCTATATAAACAATGATGTCTACAATTAGACAGGAATAGTCTTCTGTTTGTTAGCTACATTCCTTTCATCTATTTTTATTTGCCTATTGCAGTGGAATATTTAGTCAGAGCTTAGACTTGTCTGGTTTTCCACTTTAATGGGCTAATATTCTCTTTAGTATTTGCTGTTAAGCATGACACTGACTTTAGGTTTGTGTACATGTTTCTTATCACAATAAGAAATGCCCTTCTTTTTTTGCTCTTCCACAGATTTGTGATAGGATCACAAGTGAATGTTAAATTTTGTTATTTTAAAACTTTAATTGGAATGATCTAATAGCTTTTCTTCTTTGTTTCATGTTTTCAGTGTGTTTTTATCACATCTCTTCCCCTCCCCCAACTCCTCCCATATCGTCCTCACCTCCATGCCCACACATTATGTCTCTCTCTGTCAAAAACAAAACAAACAAACAAAAAGACCTACTAAGAAAAAAAACCCACAAAAACAAAACAAAACACACATAAATATGGAGTCCATTTTGTGTTGGCCAACTTCTGCACACGGAACCTGCCCCAGGTGTGGTTGATAGACCCAGTGACATGTCATTGGGGAAAACTAATTTTCCCCTTTCCAGGAGCAATTAATTGCAAATAGCTTCTTCTTCTTCTTAAGTGTGGGACTTAGTGTTTACTTTTCTTTCTCAGTGTTGAGACTTTCTTTAGTCTGTTAATGTGAAAAATTATGTTGATTTTTCCTTTTCTAATGCAAACTGAGCATATGCCAGCTGAATTTCTCTTGGCCATGGTATAATATTATGTTATTAATTGGCAATGTACTATTCTTTTTACTTTTTAAAGTTGATTTGTTAATACTTTAGGGCTCTATATTAATTTTCTATCAGAATATTCACTAAGTTTCACCAATTATGTTGATCAATAAGTATTGCAGAGTTTTGTGAGACCTAAATTTATTATGGCATGGCTGAATTCTCTGGGTTCCCCGGTCAAGGTCCAGTTTCCATGAGATCACATTTTTGACTAGAAACTCAAGAGAAAAATCAGTCTCCGAATACTTCAGGGTTTGGGCAGAATTTATTCTCTTATGTTTGGAGTGCTAAGTTCCTCATTTCTGCGGTGGCTGTCAGTATGGGGCTGCTCTCAGCAATTAGAAGCCGGCTTCATTCCTCTTCAAATACTCCACACAATCACCAGGCTAGCAGTGCCATATCAGACCCTGTTTTGGAAACTCTGACTGCTTCATTACTCAGCAGGGGACATTGTCTACTTTTAAACAATCATTCATGTGATTTGATCAGGTTCATCTAACTTGGCTCCTGCTTTAAGAATAACTCTACCTATAATCTAGCCTAGCCACTGGGGTAAAAGCTGTCATATTCGAGATTCCAGGCATTATGCAGAACAGGTCTCAGAGTGGTCAAGATTCTTGAGTCTAGCTTGCAATTTAGCCTGCCACAGGATGCCATCTGGTCCTTAAAGATTCAAGACCTTGCCAAAGCACAACTCATTCTCTCGCCCAAGGGTTCCAAGACTTCCACACTTATAAAACTGGCTTAAGCCCAGAAGCTCATCTAAAGCTCATTTCATTAGCTCAAAAGTCTAAATCCTGAGTCAGAGAACTGTCAGAAAAGTGGCAAGCTGCTGCCCTTCATGCAACAAGCAATCAGAAAGACACAAAGCCACCAGGCCCGCCAGTTTAAGGTAGCAACTGATACGGTGGCCACAAGTTTGACCAGACCATCCTTGCAACTCATTTTACCTTTGTTTGTATCGATAGCAGAGTGAGATCACCATCCAAGTGGGAGCAACCTCTCAAGTGCAGGCACAGTTTGATCTGTGTGCAAAATGATACATTTGCACTGAACGTTTCTTTTCTTTTCTTTTTTTTTTTTTTTTGTCATGTTTCAGTCTTATAAGAACAAGTTCAAGTTGACTTCCAACTTGCTGTGAAGCCAAAGATAACCCTGAGGAGCATCTTCTGTCCCTACCTTCCAAGCGTTGGGATTACACTTGTGCAACTTTGCCCTTAGCCCATTCAGTAGTGGGCATCTGCCCAGGGCCTCAAGCAGGCTAGGCATATATCTGAGTATTGATATTTGAGTCAATTGAGTATTGATTTTGAGTATTGATATTGAGCCACATTTGAGTCCTCTATTTTCAAAGCATTGCCTTTTGTGTTCATATTTACTATTCTCTTCTCTCCCATTGCTCTGAGTTTAATTGGCTACCCTCCCTTCTAATGAGGAAAAGATCATCGATTTAAAATGTTCTTTGTCTATATAAGACTGTCTATTTTTAACTTCATTCAAAACTAAAATTTCTATGTTTTACTTTAATTCCACTCCAAAACATGGTGTATTATATTTTTTATTGGCCCAAATTGTTTTCTAATTTTTGTGTGTATATGATTTCTTCATTGGTCCATGAATTATTTATTATGAAGTCTAGATACATAGGGAGATTTCTAGACTTATTTATATTTTGATAATTTGCATTTTGCTTCACTTTGGTAAGCAAGTATAAAAATTTCAACTTTTAAGAATATTTGAAAGATATTTATTTTATAATCTATCATCTGATCATGTATATTTTATAAGCTCATTAAAAGATTATGAATCTTAAACTATTGGATGTATTGCTACAGTAACTGGCAACTGGGTTCATATTGTTAACAAAGTCATTTCATTTTTTAATGTCTTTCTTGGGACCATGAGATAGCTCCAAACATTAAGGCAGACCTTCAGTTACAGACCTGTTTGGGGAAGTGCTTTCCTTCCATGGACACTGAGAATTTCTGACAAAAATATGACAACTCTTTAGTGAGATAAGAATGGCTAGGTCAAAGTGGCCTGACTACCTAGCACACACAGGAGAAAGGTATGTTTTTGTTTCTCATTTCAACCCCAGTTCCCCAAATGTAACCCAGCAGGCAGTGGCACATTGTCTTGGGTGAATTTGCATCTGTTACAGTGGATGTTTTTCTATATTCTCCACTCACTTTCCCTTTCTCTTCTTGCTAGCCCTCCGGAGACCAAGTTTGTCATCTGAGGACACAATTTGGTAAGTTTCTCCTCGGAAAACCTAGTCTCTGTGTCTAACCTTCTTACCTTCCACTGTTGGTCCTAGAACCAAGAGATCCCTTGCAGACACAATGTCTGACATGAAATTCCTGGTGTTCCTGTGATGTGATTAAAGCACAAAGCAAGCTCTCAGACCTAGATCTATGACCCATGAATAGTACTCTCAACTGAATACTACTTCACAGCTTAGTGTGTTCTGTAAAAACCCTTTCTAAGTGGTTAGAGGTCCCTCATATCCAAGGTTTCATGTCCTTTCCTTGAGATACCAAATATTAAAGAGCTCCTTACCCTATCCAATGGTCCTGGACAACACTTTTCACAGTGGCATTTCTCAATTCATATATTTATCCCCAAATAAGCATAGCTCAGTCTTTTTAGGGTCCTATATAAAAGGCCATTTCTTGAGACAGACCTTTTATTGAACTCTGAAGAGCATTAGCTTGTGCTGTTTGTGACATCTCTGGGACTAACCATCAAGGCCACTAATGCCAAAAGTGAGGCCTATCCCAATGAGCAGGACAATTGTTGGAAGTGATATTGTGTAGTGAATTGAACTAAGACAATACTTGCAGGAACAAGATCAAGTAGACACCAAGGGCAATCCTTAACCAGATCCCTCCTCACTAAAGGAAAAACTCTCCTTAACAGCTGAGATTGGGGGATTAAGTAATATCTCAAGGTTCTTCCACAGGATAAGAAGCTCCTGAAGACCATCTGAACCAACTTCTACCAAGTTCTCTGATTCCCTTGAGTGACAATTCAGAGATTTCCCCCTACTGCATCCATCTCTTCTCTGCCAGTGTAAGATTCAACAGCCTACACCAGTCTTGAGCCTGCCTGTGATCTGCATTTATTGTTCCAGAAGACTCCAGGTGTTACGAATACCAGTTACCAACACTTATAAACTCATGAACCCGACTTCAAGCCCCATCCATCATGCTCACCACTTTTTTGATATTATCCTCCGAAATCTTCCCTCTTATTTTCCTTCTAACACCCAAGAGATCACCAGTACCCAACTTACAGATTTTGTTCTTGATCTCTTTCTCCAAGGTGATCTCATGGATTTCACTTGGGATGAGGTAATGCAGTTTCTGGAACTTCCGTAAAAATATACTATTATGTTAAATAATAATAAAAGTGGATCCTTAAATAAAAGTGGATCTTAATTCTGGTGTCTGTGTGATCATTTTTCTACCAGTGCTAATAGTCTGACTTCTTTCTTCTGTTTCCTAGTTACTTCTAATAACCATTTTGCTCCTTGGGTTAACTCTATCTAGGCTTTACAACTCCCCTAAACTTCTCTGACATCTTGTTATTCAAGGTATCTCATAAACTCCAAAAAAAAAAAATCTAATGTTTTCCTTAAGCAAGTGGTTACTGGTGTTGTCTATCTCTGCTTCCCAACTGACAGGGATAGGAACACACAGCTGCACCCTTTAAATGGATATGACTTATCACAAACTCACCCTTACTAAAATAGATTCTTTAATTCTGATTAAATAAAATGGCCTTAGGAGTCCAATCAAATAACCTAATAACTTTTAAAATATGACTGTCCAACATTGTCTCTCAGCCACATATCCCTTTGTGACCCAATTCTTTCCCATGTTAAGCTTCACCTTCAAGCTTTAAAATGTATTAAGGACGGAGAAAATTTCTCTATTCTAGATAGTCTTCCTAAGACCCTCTGTACAAATGCTGGTCCTATGAATATACAAACTAACCAATGGTCAATTCCAGGACAACCTCAAAGTATTATGTCCTACTTATCTCAAGGTGAGGGACAGCTGAAAAAAAAATTCCCATCTCCACTGAAATTCTACCTGGTCATATCACAATGGTTAAGACTGTAAAACTTCCAAGTCCTTGAACAATTGCTTACAAAGCATGCTGTTGAGGATCTGTAATACTGAGCACATTTAGATCCCAATTAATTCTCAGTCAATTCTATCTTTCTGTGAAAACACAGCCCACTATTGGCTGTCACACAGACATAGCCTATGCAGCCCTTTACCAGGGCAACACTAGCTTATTATTATGTCTTTCATTTACTTTTGAAACCACATGAAAATCCTTTGGCCCTCCAGTCAGCTTTTCTGCTTGAATTTAATACCTGCCCAACTCTGAAGGTTTTTTTTTTATTTTTCTATGGACCAATGCAAAATTTGCCTTCTTGTCAAATGAATTGACACCAGCACCCCAACTTATATTACACCAGACATCTAAGTTGTTTCTGCTAATCAATCAGTCATAATTCCTCTCTTTTACTTAGCTAACCAAAACAAGTGATTCAATTAATTCTTTTATTTGTCAGGTGGGTCATACAAGTGTGGGGCTTTGTATAGAGACAGCTGGTCTTATTTGTGCATCCTGTGCCATCACCTTTCTGCTGTACTAGTGGTATGTTGTGACTCCATCTCAGATGCTTTTGAGGTCCTACAGGATCAAATTGATCAATTAGTGTCTGTATCCCTCCCAAACCAACATGGTCATGATTTACCAGCTGCTGACTGTTTCTAGAGGAGATGTGTTACATCTGCAAGCAAGCTGGGAGCAGTTCAGGACATGGCAACAAGATCGAGTCCGGACTGATGGAATTTGAGAGAGATAAACATAGATACAGAGAGAGGTGGATAAGAGGTAGGAAGGAGAGAGAGAGAGAGAGAGAGAGAGAGAGAGAGAGAGAGAGAGAGAGAGAGAGAGAGAAAGAATAAGAGATTGGGAGAGGAGAGAGAATAAGAGATTGGGAGAGGAGAATAAAGAAAGAAACACTTTCACAAAAGTGGCTGGTTTTGAGACTGGCACTCCTGAGTAACCCCTGAATTGTAATTTACTTGTCAAGTTTGCTGTTCAGGACCCAATATTTCCAGTCCCGATGATGCTTCAACATGCATCCAGACAATACTATGAAACAGGTCATGACCCATAGGGACTTTAGGACAGGCTGCCAGGTGTTTACGCTAGTGAATCTTTTTTTTTATTTTTTTTTATTTTACAACACCATTCAGTTCAACATAATAGCCACAGATTCCCCTGTTCTCCCCCTCTCGCCCCCTCCCCCTCCCCCCAGCCCACCCGCCGTTCCCACCTCCTCCAGATCAAGGTCTCCCCCGAGGACCGGGATCAACCTGATAGACTCAGTCCAGGAAGGTCCAGTCCCCCACTCCCAGACTGAGCCAAGCGTCCCTGCATATGTCCCAGGATTCAAACAGCCAACTCATGCAACGAGCCCAGGACCCGGCACCAACGCACAGCTGCCTCCCAAACAGATCAAGCCAAATGACTGTCTCACCCATTCAGGGGGCCTGATCCAGTTGGGGGCCCCTCAGCCTTTGGTTCATAGATCCTGTGCTTCCATTCATTTGGTTATTTGTCCCTGTGCTTTATCCAACCTTGGCTTCAACAATTCTCGCTCATATAAATCCTCTTCTTTCTCACTAATTAGACTCCCAGTGCTCCACCAGGGGCCCAGCCGTGGATGTCTGCATCCAGATTCCTCAGTCCTTGGATGGGGTTTATGGCACAACTATCAGGGTGTCTGGCCATCCCATCACCAGAGTAGGTCAGTTTCACAAGAAAGAATATACCTTCTTCTCAGCACCCCATGGAACTTTCTCTAAAATCGACCACATACTTGGCCACAAAGCAAATCTCAACAGATACAAAACAATTAGAATAACCTCCTGTGTTCTATCAGACCACCATGGTTTAAAGTTAGATTTCAACAACAACAAAACTACAGAAAACCTACAATCTCATGGAAACTGAATAATGCTCAACTGAATCACCAATGGGTTAAGGAAGAAATAAAGAAAGAAATTAAAGACTTCCTAGAGATCAATGAAAATGAAGACACCACATACCCAAACACTAGTGAATCTTAATCAACTTCTCTTTCTTCATTGTTCCCTGATGTCCCATGGCAGGTTAGCAATGGTAGGTGGGAACATTGATATTACCCCATTGAGCCTGAGAACTTCTGGAAGAAGAGATCTTTGTTCCAATGTCTAAGGTTTGTCATTGTTACTTTGTCATGGAGAAATGTGGGGGAATAAACAATTTTGGGGGTACTACAGCATGTCAAACAATCTCTGGAAGAACTCACCCTATCATTTGAATCAATTAATTAGTCAATCAATCAATCAATCAATCAATCAAAATCAACTATGTTGTCATGTCAAAGAGATATCCTAACCCCAGGTCCTAACCAGTCAAACACCAAGCATTCGGAAGTGCCATGATACAGTCTTTTAGAGTAGAGCAGAACACAAAACAAGGTTTTTTCCTCCAGAAAAGGAACCATAGTCCACTGGTGCATTGTGTACAGTTCTACTGCTGTTCTGCCTGCTGCTTCCTTATAGTGAACTCAATAAAGTTCTATTTCTATTCTGATCTCACGAATAAATTCTTTCACTTCTCATGACTTGGGACTGTTACATTTCTCTTTTATGGGTCTGACACTAACTCACAATAGGTTTTCTGTTCATACATCATATTTTTTATATTTCCCACACCTAATGGATAATAGAAAGCTTCCAGTGTAAAGCTTCTTACTCTTCACTTCATATTTTGTTGGTTTACTTTTCTATTGAAGGCAAATATCTTATCAGATAATTTGACCATTCCTTAAATTGTAAGTCTGCAAATGATGAGCAGTACTGGTCTGTTTTATAAAACAATATGAGTACTTTTAAAGATATTCAAAGTAAGACTTGTTTCCTGTTTGAACCAAACAGAATTACGGATAAATATATCATATTACAAAATTTGTCTTATCAGTGATGATGAGTGATTTGATTAAAGCTATACTATATACTTATACTTAAGTAGTTATTAGTTTTAATCATAATCAAACATAAGCAAATGACAATCTCATTTATATTCTGAACAAAATAAAGGAAATTAGCGCCTCTTCTAAAACTTCAGGAAATTAAGCCAAGTAATAATTATAAGGATAAGGATGAAGCAGCAGCCTTGTCTTCTCCAGTGTTCTTCTGCATAATTATCCTGATCTAGAGTGATAAATTAGCTACACACACACATACTTCTTGGAGGAAACATGTTTTAATTAGCTTATGGTTTATTTTGGCTCTCAGTTTTGAATAGGGAAATATATCAGTTTGTACTTTCAAATTTTAAATCATAACTATCTGAATAGAAATTACCATCAGTAACAGTTTAATGCTTTTTATATTTACTTTTCTGTACAATTAATATCAAAATTGAATTGTTTCATAAATTATAAATCAAAATTTATATTACCAAATATGTGCTAAAAATTCAACCTGAAAAGTTTTTAGTCATTGAGGTACTCCTTAGAGAGAACTGGGTGAAGTAATGGACTCAGATGACTAAGAAAGCTGGGTGAGGTTTCTGCATGGATTACTTGATAGCCCTTAGCAATGTTTTTACTCTTTGGAGTTTCTTCCTCCTCTTTGCAAAGAGAAGGGCCAAGCTAGAACATCAGTAACATCCTAACTAACTTTAGTACTCTGTATCAGGGTCCTACACAGACCTGCTGACCATTAAACACAATGATTGCCAGTTCCAGTGCAACTTTCTACACATTTTTTCATTCTTTCTTGGTGCCCAGATAGCCGTCTTGTTATTGCTTTTCGGAGCTGTGGACTGCATTGGCAGTGACCCTCTAGTATGTGCTTCAAGCCTAGCACTGGTGATGATATCATTGAGTTTGTGTTACAACAATTAATGAAACAGGAGACCATGGATTTTAAAAACAGCAAGAAAGGTTAAATTAGAGAGTTCAAAGGGAAGGAAGGAAAGGGAGAATTATGTAATTCTATTATAATATCAACAATAAAAGAAAAATTTAAAACTACCACCCTCTAAAAGCAACAGATACTTGCTATTGACGGAAAAGGATGTGACTTCTGTGGCTAAATAGAGTTAAAATAATTAGATTAAAATTAATAAGGCTCATAAATTTTCTTCTGTCATTCTGAAATTTTCCATATAACTAATGCAGAACTATTCTCAAATAAGAGTACTTAGAATAGTTTTTTGACAGCATTGGGAACAACTTATTTTATTTTATTTACTTTTGTTTCTTTCATTTAAGTATGAGTTGCTACTGAAAACAAATCCAGATGTCAGCTTTGGCACAGCTCCTTGTCA